TAGCTGTTTGGCTTAGAGCAGAGCCTATCTCGTTAAAGTGTGAGCACAACATAAAACGGCTGTGTTTTATTTCAGCTGAATAGAAAGACTAATGGATTTTTTTATTAAGTTAGGTACTTACTCTCTAGAATTTTTCCAAATAAAGGTACAGGCCAACACAGTCACAACTGTAGACTCTACGTAATGCTAAAAACCCTTTTCTGGCTCAAATAGAAATAAAATAAAAAGCCCTTTTATTATTTCTTGAAATAGAATTAAAACTAAAAACAAGATTATTGAAAAGAGAGCATCAAGGTTTTGTTCCATAAAGTCGTCTTTTATCATCAGCGCATTTGATCAAACAAGGCTATTGGACTTCTAAAAAACCTGAATTAATACTGTAGATACTTAACAATAGCAGGTTCTCTATTATTAGCTACCCTCCGTTTTCCACGGCTACAATTAATCTCGGTAAGTGTAAACAGTTTAATGCGTATTAATAGGTCTTGGTTCAGCTTCAATTCCTTGATTACAACGATACATCACAGGTGAGGCGACTTAACTAAGATCGATTGGAGCGAGGATTTGTTCGATTGAAGCCTGGAGTTTTTATTGGACACTAGCTGGGCCCGCGACTTCGTACGCGTGGACCCCGTTCTACCCTCTTAGGGCTGGAGTTTCGTAAAATCCTTTCTTAGCGGATGTCTACGTCATAACATCTACCTGCATGCCAAATTTCAGCCCGATCCGTCCAGTGGTTTGGGCTGTGCGTTGATAGATCACTTTGTCAGTCAGTCAGTAAGTCACCTTTGAGTTACATAAAAATATGTTTAGACTAGCGGCCACCCGCGACTTCGTACGCGTTGACCCCGTTTTACCCCATTAGTGGTGAAGTTTCGTAAAATCCCGTCTTAGTGAGCACCTACGTTCTAAAAGAAAGCCTCATGCAAAATTTGAGACTCCTAGCACTTGTAATTTCTGAGATTTCGTGATGAGTGAGTCAGTCAGTAACCTTTCGCTTTTATTTATATAGATGGCAAAGGCATCTTGCTTTACAGCTTTTTTCTTTCGTTTACTTTGAACCCTAGAGTTTTTATTTGACACAGGCAAAGGCATAATGCATTACAGATCTTTTTCGATTCGTTTAAACGTTATTAACTTAGCGGATAGAGTCGCTTCTCAAACTAAATTTTAAATAAACAACTTGAAAAAAATCGAACTGCCTATGGGTTGGAAGAGCAGTCGCCCGGCAAGCGGAAGGTCGTGGGTTCGTGTCCCGCCTTAGGCAGTTCGATTTTTTCAAGTTGTTTATTTAAAATTCTTTCGTCTACTTTGAAGCCTGTAGTTCTTATTGGAGATAGGCAAAAGCATATTACGTAACAGCTTTCTTACTGGGAATTTCTCTTTAGTTTACTTCTCGTGTGGTGTCTTGTTTTATATGTTGTTATCCCCTTTTCTACCTTTTATTGTTTGTTTCATACATTTATAAGGGTGTTAAATTGTCCTAGCTAGGAACCGATATCTCTCGAGTTATCAAGCTGCTATACCTCATGTACAAATCGTTAACAATATTGTTACCTTATTCATGTGTTTTTAGTGTGGCAAATAAACGTTATCACAACATTATTTAAACACTGAACAGTAGGTAACTCAATCACTAACTTTTAAAAACAAATAAAGATGAAAATTAAAAAATAGGGGCCGCTTATTGTCTCTCACGTCTCGTATTTTCTCTAAATGCATTCTCGTAAAGGCGACATAATGAGAATACAGATTTCATTAATCGGTCGTCGCACTTCAAGTTCTTAACTTAAGGCAATTGGAAATACACCAGATGAAAAGCACCTCTGAGGCGAACTAATTGCTTGTTCTGAATTCAAGTACAGTCAGCATCAAATAGTTCATGACACCCAAAGTGGCCAAAAAGTTGACAAAACAACCTTATTCCAATTGTAACTATAGTCTTTTTCACGTAAGATGATCCGTATGACACTTCAAGGTTATCCATATTACGCATACTACATATTATTATGCAGAATATTTTTGAAAAAATATTTGTATTTTATTAGCAATATAATAAAAAAAAATAACTACCTTGTCTTGAAATATATAATAAAATCTGAGTCTATTGATTATATTTTAATTAAATACGATGTAAAAATATTTTTTATTTAATGTACGCAATGTGTGAAACGGGATAGATTTAGTGCTGGGGTATTTCTTGTACAATAAAATCGATTATTTCCGCGGTTCATTAATCGATTGAAGTGAATACTTAGTTATTAAAAACATCACAAAAATCAACTATATTTTTCGATTATTGACTTTAATAAACGCATTAAAAATAAATTAATAGTTTTTAATTTAAAGAAACAGAACCAGTACTTTTTAGGAATCGTTTTTTTGAACACGAACCATGAAATTTGAATATTATCAACAAAAAATTGTTACAATAATATTTGTAATTAAAAAAAACATGTTTTTTTTGTTAAATAACACCTATACAAAATAGTTCTCTAAAAGTAGGTTTTACTAACTCTTCGAAAAAAATCGATAGATAAATCGCTATGGTTTCATTATGTGACATCTCTAAATCTTTCAAACTCGAAACGTCATACGGATCATCTTAGGTGAAAAAGACTATAAGCGTGTTGCGAACTTTTTGGCTACTTGGGTGTCACGAACTATTTGACGTTGACTGTACCAACGGTTTGGGGAAAGTTAATTTGTTATTGGAAAATGGCAAGTTATTAGGTTCATTTATTATTTTCAGGGATAGAGAAACTAAAACAAATTCGGCCTTTAAGCGAAAGGTCAAAGGTTCAGGCGGGCTATACATTTTATCAAGTGAAAAATCTATTTAGGGAAGCCTTAAATTCTGTAAATAAATCGTTATTTATACTTAGGTTCTCCTGCGGCTTGGATTTCGATAAATATAACCTGTATGTTACACCCTGTATAATAATTGTCTTATTTATGTGAGCTTATTTTTATACCATCTTTTCATGTCAAGCTTTAATTAATTTTATCATGTAAAATAATTAATAAACAACCATTTCATAACAAAACTAAGTATCAGCTTTCTTTTTAAGTGGAACTAATGCCCGTTTTCACCATCAATCCCAAATTTTTAAGTGACCCCTATGACAACAAAATTCATATTATGTGTTACCATAGGGGTCACTTCGGTGCCGTGTGGGGACGGCCGTAAAGAATACCATTCCCCACCGCCAACAGGAGGCGTGTCGTAAGAGGCGACTAAATCCTGTAGCACGAGATGGGCAGCAGCGTCTACGTGCGAAACCTTATAAAAAACTGCGCTCGCCAACCCGCCTGCCAAGCGTGGCGAGTATTGGCAACTCCCCCCCCTGATGAACGGCAGAGCTAAAACCAGGCCCCCAGTCTCCGGCAGCCCCGTTGTTCCTGATTACGGTAGCGGTTGGGGTGACGACGGACGACGGGGCGGGGGGTGCTAAGAATCCCCGGAGGAGGAATAGCTACCACCACAAACGACAACTGGCCCTCGTAACACACAACATCCGCACCCTGAGGTCCGACGAAAAGATTATAGAGCTGGAAGATGAATTAAGTAGGTTGCGATGGAGTATTATAGGGCTATCGGAAGTCCGACGAGAGGGCGAGGACACGATGACCCTGAAATCCGGCAACCTGCTTTACTACCGGGAGGGCGAACAACTGTCCCAAGGTGGTGTCGGGTTTCTCGTCCACAAGTCCCTCATTAACAACATCATCTCCATCGGAAGTGTGTCGAGCAGGGTTGCATACCTGATACTCAGAGTATCCAAAATAGATTTTTATGATCAACACAAAGTAGGTATAATCAAAACTTTATTTCTTCTTTAGTGATCGTTGAAGTCAGAAACTTACTCGTAGACCCATATCTATTAATATTCATATACCTATTTAGAGCGTACATAAAGATCTCATGCCTTCATTACTCTATACAAGTCAATCAAGTACGGCAATTATTTACAGACTGATGTGCTGGTACATCAGTCTGTACTTTTTACATAACTACACAAGATGTTACAATGTTTGGCTTCATGTTAAGTTCGATATTGACGTGACAAGGTTAAAGAAGAACGGTCATCTGTGACCCAGGCCCGACAGAAACGAGACATACCTCAGTTTTTTTGGCATGTCTTAATTAGTTAAATTATATATTTTTTATATTCGAAATCTATGTATAACACCTAAATATTACCCTTTGTTTTTGTTCAGGCGTTATACAAAAACTAATACAAAATACCTATTTATCACCAAAATTGTCAAATGTATGTACCTAAATGTCTATTATAGCTGCTATGGAATGTATCTAGGTGACCTGGAGATACAGCCTCAACAGCAAAACGTTCGGAATTTATCAAAAGTAAAATTTATGAATGAAAGTAATGTTCGATTGAAAAACGCAACGTGTCATTTAAAGATTAAAGAATTCCCAATCTATTCGTGCAAAAATCTTTTAAATTAACATAGCCGTTTTGGAGGAGTAGCGAATTTAAGTAAAAAATCGATGTCCCGTATTTATTTTTTTAATCCAAAACAAAGACACGTAGCGAAAATTCAAACGTCACAAATGTAGTCCTTGAACTGTTGTATAACATACATTTTTTTCAACTATTTCTGTCCAGCAGTAAAAGAGGAGTAGGCTTTACAAAATGCCCATTTAGCGCGGATTGAGGACACTAATCGCCTTAATTAATGTTTATTGTCCGTGGTGCATATCTTTTTCATAAAGGTTACTCTAAACCTTTGTTTGTCACCTGTCATCCGCTTTGCAACGGAGGCAAGTCGAACCTTAACTTCGAACTTCTCCTATGTTCTTCTGATTAATTTCGTTGCGGGTCCAATGACATTTTAACTTTCCCCCGGGACAAACTTGACCTTCATTGGTTGGGTTTTTATTGGCGGTGTAGATCCTGGCTACACAGGAGTTGCAGTGGTGAGAAAGAGAGGTGGGAATAGTCCCGTTCATGTTAGGTAAAATAATGTCAAAATACCTAAGTTCTCTGAGCTCCAGTCGGAAGCCGGTCTCGTCCACGGGCCTCGTCCTGTTCTTGAAGGACAGGAGCGGCAGGTCTCCCATCTGCTGGATCGCGCTGTCCGTTTCTGCGAACCGCTGCGAGAGGTTTGACCTGAGAAATCGTAAACTAGGTTCAGATCGCTAGTTATACCCGTATGGCGGCAGGGTAGATTAGAACGACCCCTAACCTTATCGTGGATGATAAAGGGAAGGCTTTAAAGCCTTGATCACACCTACCGAGTAAACGGGCGAGACAGTAAAATGTTTACTCGGTCGAGACAGCTGGGTGAGCGAGTCACATACTTGAGCGCTCGGCCGAGCACTCGGCGCTATGTTCATAGTTACGCACCGAGTACTCGGCCGAGAGCACTGTCTCGCCCGTTTACTCGGTACGTGTGATCAAGGCTTAAGGGCTTGGGAACGACTAAGGGCTTGTTCCCATGGAGATATACCATTTTTTGCGGGAGCCTATTTAGTAAAGTGTTTTAATGTTAACGTTCACATGAACATCCCGTTTGTGTGTGTCCCACAATGAACCGATTCGAATTTGTAATTTCAAACACAAATACATATGTATGTTCATTATTGTTCATACGACAGTCAAGTTTTGCGGGATACTGCATTACTGTATCCTGCAAAAATTGATAGCCGTGGGAAGGAGCCCTAAGGGAGATATATCCGTACATTCAGACCTCAACAACACATCTATCCAGAGCGTGGAGAGTGTAGTCCTTAATACTTATTCTCCATTTGTCTCTGGTAAATAAAATTGGGTCGTGTTCCTGCAGTGAAGATTAAATGGTCTGATGATGGAGATTAAGGATGTTATGGATATCTAAGTTTCGGTTATGGATACGTTTACGGATATAGGATTAATATTATACCGGTTTCGGTTACGATTACGGATATTTTTTTAATTCGGATATCCGAAAGTCTCGGTTACGGATATCTGTGATTTAGAATGCAATTTGCAATAGCTGTCCAACACGGTTCATTCATGGCCGCACACTTTACATCGAATAAAAAAATAAAAATTGATACTAGATGGCATTATAAAGGTAAATCAGGCTGTTATGCCTTTACATAATGCTATAAAAACAATTTAAACTGCCTACATCCGAAACTATTCCAATCGGTTACGGTTACGGTTTCGGATATTTTTTTATTTCGGATATCCGAAAGTTTCGGTTACGGTTACGGATATCCATAACATCCCTGATGGAGATTAAGGTTGTTGTAGGCCACCTCAAATATTAAAATTCTTAACTTAAAACTAAGGAAGGTCGTATTCTTCAACCTCAAATTTTACAATTATTGACTAAAGTCAACAAGACCGTTAACAAATTCCAACAAAGGTATTACGTAGCAATGCCTCCAACTTTCTGAGTTTGATTCCAAGACTTACGAAGTACTATCTCTTTACAATGGCTTAAGCATTATTGTTATTCTTATTAAAGTTATCCACAGGAAGTTAAAGCTCCAATTGAGGATTAATTTTGTTTACTGTAACGCTATCAAAATTTTAGAATGTCGCTTTATTTTATAGAAGATTTTTGACAATTGCGGTTGATGTATACGAATCCCATTACAGTTTTGTAATTGCAGTTTGGTTTGGAACCGAGCCTATCTCGTTTAAAGTGCGGTTACGTAAAATCGGCTGTGCTTTATTTTAACCCTTAAGTAACACCGTAGGGTAATTTTTTACCCCAGGCGCATAAAAATTGACATATCTTTTTTCCAGCGAAGCTAGTGCAATGTAGTTTTGTGTATTTAAAATATGTATAAAACATCTATTCAATGTCCGATTAGTGTAAGTTTTTGGTTCCCACAATAACTTTCAAAGATTTCTCTAGAAGACCATTGTGAAGACTATTAGTTGCAAATGAAAAATTCTTTGTTTTTTGTTATGATTGATTTAAGATGTTTCTTTACGCTAGATAGACGTTCTTTTAAGGCAATCGTATAATTTAGTTAGTCCACTAATACCATTGTAAATCACAAATAAGGTAAATTGATTTTAAATATTTACTTAACATTTTTCAATTTCCGTTTGGGGTAATTTTTTTCCCCAGGGTGTTCAAAGTGTGACCGAAAATTCGGATGTTACTTAAGGGTTAAGCTGAATGCAGGAAAAAAGACAATTACTGGAATTTTATTGCCACTTCGTAGAGTGATGGGTATAGTGTGTTCAGACTAGCAAAATTTGACCCAACATTATTGGTGCCAATACTATTTTGATCCACATGCTGGACGAGTGGCGTTAGTACCAATGTTGGGGCCAACATTGTAGAGCTGCCAAGGAAGCTTCAGCTGCATGTGACATCTTGTGACACTCTCTTGCTAGCAGCCACGGCATGCAATAGAAATAACGTAATTCTCTTTTACAGCCTTGCCTTGGCCCTTAAGCCAATCTACATTAACCTTTTGTTAATAGTCTAAAAGCTCAATCAATACTGACCTTTAGCCCAGAGATATATTCGCACTTATTTTGTTGTCTGTAATTCCTAATAACGAACTTTATACAGTAACTTCATCTTGGTTATTGGGTAGGCAATAACAACCTTAGTGAAAATTTGATGTGTCTCTAGTGCCACCGACACAGATTATGTCAGTTACTGTCGTTTGGCGAGCTGTAAAGTTTTCAATTTGGAGAGGCAATTATCTGGAATTTGCTATAAAATTGACATTCTTGTTTATTATAGACAGGTCAATTATTCAGAATTGAATGAGGTGTCTTCTTTAGAATGCCCGCAAACTACAGATTTTTGTCAGACGACAGTTTGTTCGGTAAATCTTTGTCTATAAAAGCGAAAGGTCACTCATTGACTGACTCACTCATCACGAAAACTCAGAAACTACAAGTGCTAGGAGTCTCAAATTTTGCATGGGGGTTCCTTTTAGAATGTAGGTGCTCACTAAGAACGGATTTCACAAAACTTCACCCCTAAGGAGGTAAAACGGGATCCACGCGTACGAAGTCGCGGGCGCGGCGGCCGCTAGTTATGAATAAGTATGAAACACATTTAAATCGTCCAATTCCTCATATAAATTAGAACCCGACCAAGCTATGGGCCTTGAAAGTCTGTAGTTTGCGTGGACTTTTACGGACCTCAATCCACTTTAACGACTTCTTCAATTGACTTTCGACCTTATTTAAAGTCATAACAGTTCATATTCAGGTTGACCTGGTCATCTTACCTCAAAGTGCTTCCGTTGGTGAAGATGAAAAAGGCCACTTCCGACCTTTCTTGCTGCAGTCTGGTCACCAGTTTCCCGAGCTCCGTCGCTCGACTGACCTGTAAAAAGTTTTCATATTGTAATGGTAGTTAAACTGTTTGAGAACTTTCTTTTCGAAATAATTTTATTCTGCAATCACTTAGTCATAGATCTTTTTGTCCCCTAACAATGTTCTACACTGTGTAAATTTCAAATGAAACCTATTTTGAGAAAAATAAATACATTCTGTTTTATTCTACTTACAACAATTTATTTTCTGGGAAACATTTAAAATAAATAAACCAAACTTAAACTGGGTCTCACCATATTATTTTAGCTCCCACGAACGTCAAAAATCTGTCAAACTCCATACAAAAAACTCCGGTTATCGCTAAAGTTACGGTCAAAATTAGGTGGTGCAACTCGGCCGCATGACAAGCGCACAGTTTTATTTTCTTCATTGACTATTTCTTAGGACAAGGGCTTTCACGGATAAGTAGAATGTAGAGATCAGTTCACAGCAAAGAAATTGTTTATTTTGAAGTCGGTAAAAATACCAACTATTCCTTCCGACTACGAACACTTTCATTCAATATATTCTATCATGATTTGCTGGCTTACTTACCTACTGTCGGACTTAATTTTAAATGTCTAGGCATACAATGTCTAAGCATTTTTAACCGCCTCTGTGGTCTAGTGGTAAGACCATTTGCTCAGACGCAGAGGTCCTGGGTTCGATTCCCAGTGGAGGCAGATTTTTCTGTTCGGTTTGGTTGGTGGTAGGGCTTGTTCTAAGTCCGCCTGGTTAGCTACCACCATCTTACCTAAGTCTGCCGCCATAACAACAATTGAGGATTCCGGGTGAAGCTCGCTTCCACCTTCGGCCTGATCATCACTTACCATCAGGTGAGATACAAGCCAAGAGCTTCCTCGTTGTGGGTAAAAAAATAAATAAAATTAGGTTCCTAATCAAATGCCTTACAAATCCCAAGAAACTTGAGCGTATTTCAATGTTAATTTGTTTTCACAATATTTGGGCTTCTCCCAGTTGGTTAAGTTAGCCAAACTCAATGTACCTATATTTTATTTTATTTAGTACTAGCTTTTGCCCGCTGCTTCACCCGCGGCTTCACCCGCGTGAAATTTCGTTTGTCACAGATCGAAATAAATTATAGCCTATGTTATTCTGGGTTATAAACAATAATACTGTAAAGTTTCATCAAAATATGTTGAGTAGTTTTTACGTGAAAGAGTAACAAACATCCAGACATCCAAATTTTCGCATATTAAGTAAGTAAGATATTTTAGTAGGTCATGATTTCGTTAAAAGGCTTCTTCTAAATATGTTGTACAAATAACAGTCGTGAAAGGACTTCTTAGCTTTATTAATAAAATAATTTGTACAATGTAATAATTTAATGGAATTCCTTGAAACTTCTAGCGCGAAAGCGTTTGAATGTTTCAATGAAAATCGTAATATTACCTTTTACTGTAGGTAACAGACATGTTTGTATTGATGATAATAAAATAGAGTAGGTATTGCTTTCTAACAAATATTCTGGTTATTTCTTAAATATCGCTTTTAAATTGAATTACTTACGAACGATTGAAGCTCAGATGATCTTGATTATAAATAGAGTTTAAACTGTGATTCAAACACGATTCTTTGAGGGCTTGTTCCCACGGAGATATCCCGTTTTTTTGCAGGAACTGTTTTTTGCAGGACCCCGTTTAGTAGTATTATTCGTGTTTTAACATAATTAACGTTCACGCGAACATTCCGTTCGCAATCTCCCGATCCGAATTTCTAATTCACGTACAAGACAGTTCATTGTGGAAAACCTTGCCTTTGTCCAGCAGTGGACGTCATTTGGCTGAAACGAAGTACAAGACAATTACAAGACGGTTTTCAGAACGTTTACAAGACAGTCAAGGATCCCGTAGTGCAGGGTCCCGTGTGAACGAGCCCTATCAAGTCCATGTAGCCAAATCTTGTTTATGTATGGCTTAACACAAACATGGGCACTTCGAAATCGTCAGCTATTTTTAATCTCATACATTTTCATGAAGTTCCGGTGTCAGCCGTGATGTCAGATGACACGCTCTGACACCAGCTAGATTACTTTCGTAGAGCGAGTTTATTCTAGTGTTGCCTACTGTNCCTACTGTCGATATCGATATTTGGAGACCAATGAAACAGTGACTACACTAATATTAGTACTACCTTTTAGGTCTTCTATAACAAGTTCGAAAAAATCTTTACCAAGAAAATAACCAATAAGAAAAAAACTATCAACAGTTTGCGAAAAATTTGCTAAATCGATAATAACTATCGACAGACTAGCTACAGCACTGCAATCTATAATCAACTATACAGGATGGAAACGAACATAAAATTTTCGAATAGATCAGTTTATTCTGGAATCTGTTGATACTGTTTGAAAGAGCTCGTGAAGTACTTTCAAGATCAGTATTCAGTTATTCGATTTAAAATATTTCATATAGGTACCTAATGTATTTAGAAATAATCGAGTGAGATCACTTATCGTTTCCACCCTGTAGATAGGCAGCACTATTATGCTACGAATAGGCACTAACCGTAGAAAATATTGTTTATTTACCCTCATAAAAGCTATTTCGTGGAAGTATAAAGTATCATAACATCGTAAAATATTACGGAGTCCAATTTTCGACATCAATGGAGGTCAAAAAGTAAACAGAGTAATAATCGAATACAAATATGTTTAGAGAATTTTCCCGATTGAAGTATAAATGTGATACTAAAGTTTTCCTTCACGATCACGGTCAATTTGCTTTCCTCCTTGTAGAATGTATTTCAATGATTCATTTTACTTACAGTTCTCATAATACCTATAAATAAGCCTATTAATACAACATTACAACAACAATAATAAAAGATTATTTCTAAAGACTATTATTTGCCTTAAATCGGAAACAGATATGGCAAAATATGAAAATAAGCTCAACAAGGTACTTTCATATTATGATAAGAATCATGACGTCACAAATAAAAATACCAGTTAAGCTGAACAAGTGGATTATACTCCTGAAAATCCTGAAACCATTCAATACAAGAAACATTATATTATAACAAGGGACATCTAGAATAGAAGATCGCCAAAAACATAGGAAACGCCTGTTTTATGAGTAACTATAGTCACTCTCATAACAGCATCTTGTATATTTTTATAGAAAGATTACAATCCAAGTTCTACAAAATAACAACTAAAATAAAAATCCACAACCTGCTCTATTCCCGATCGACTGTAGTTTTTAAATTTGTGCTGCAATTCTAAAGAAGCCACTTTTGTATCAGATAGCGCCATTGGATTGAGTTGATATTGACTTTAGTATAACTTTTATGGTTTTGGCGCGATTGCAATAGGAAGAGTGCATTTTAGCGACTCTAGGTAGAGCTTCGATACGCTGCAATTTGAAGAAGAAAATTTAATACGAGAGACTATTGCCCTCCTTTTTTAAGTAGATAAAAGTCTTTTTTTTATGCATAACAAGGCAGGTATTTGACCACAATCGCACCTGATGTTAAGTGAGATGCAGTCTAGGATGGTACATATCTGCCCTGTAAGCGCCTGTTCAGTCTACGTCAAAGTTAATGCTTATTTAAGCTTTTAAAAAAAAATGAAACTCATTTATTTATGCAAGTAGGCTTTTAAAAAGCACTTTTGCGCGTCCCAGTATTAACCCTATCACTGCTTCAGGACAGTAAATAGGCCAGTGCTAAGAAGAAGCAGCGCAAGAAACTCAGTCACTATTTGAACAAAACAGTTAAACAAGCGTTAAACGTCTTGTTTAAAATGATTTTTCCATATTTAAGCTGAGTTGCACCTCCTTCCTAACTTTGACCTATTTTGGTTGACAGATTTTTGACTTTTATTAATGTCAAAGTAAGATGGTGCAACCCAGCTTAAATGTCAATTTAAATTAACGTTCAACGAGCGTTAAACTTTTTGTGGTAGGGGGTCTGTGTCTACAAAGATGCGGACAAAAGTAAGCTAGCTAGTTTGAAATGAAGGCAAAACGGGAAGGCGAAATATTTTCAGCTATCATTAATTATTATGAGGACCACGAGTCACCGAAGACGGAAGCCACACCGCTACAGACTCTAGTAATTAATATTAACTACAACTAATGTTTCTGTTGGACACTTGGAAATAACATTATTACGGCTGTATTTTTTTTTTTTTTTTTTTTTTTTTTTTTTTTTTTTTTTTTTTTTTTTTTTTTACAATGACACATGTTTTTAAGCACATTAATTACAATTCAAAAACAAAGTTGTTTGTGTGAGACTGATGCCTGTGATAGGTATTTGCATACCTGTAGTACAGGTCATCAGGTATTCACAAACATTACTATGAGGTCTCAAAGTGCGCGGGGACGCACAGGGTCACACGCGAACCAGTCACAGAGCTCTATTTAACGCTGTGCGTTTGATTTTCTGCGTCACTTAAGCAAGCATCGTTTGTTACAAATTAGTACAAATTCCCAAATTACAAGTTTTTAGAACTTAGCTAAGTTCTAAAAACTGTAAAGTTATTTCATCGTTTATGAACTCACAGAATATTATGTAAATTGAATTTAAGGCTCCTTTTATAAGACTCACTTGTCAGACTGAAAATTTTGAATAAGGGACGGAAGTTGTATGAAAAGTCCGCAATTCACGAAGTTAGAATTGTAAACGTAAAGGCCCATTTCGGAAAATTAATACTTTCGAGGTCAACTGGCAACAGGTTCTAGCATTTACACGTATTATGTAGTTATGTAGGTAAGTAAATATTTACTTAATTTTTCGTTACAATTGAAATACTCGTAAGGTACTTTTCAGTAATTTTGGGTATTACGAACTAAATGTTTGACGCTGATATTATGTGCATCATAAACCAATCAAGGTTTAATTCAAATCAGGGAATACCTACATTAGTTACTTAGATAGTACTTAGGCTGAGTAGCACCATCTTACTTTGACTTTAACAAATGTCAAAAATCTGACAAACAACATACAAAAAGCACTGGTTATTATTAAAGTTACGGTTAAAGCAATTTGGTACAACTCAGCCTTAGTAATAAGTTAGAAGAAAGAAAGAAAGAAGAAAGAAAAATAGTTTATTTGGTTCAAGCAAACGTTTTACACAATTTAAATTACATACATAATTTATTGAACCAAAATGGCTCACTCAAGCTGAGTAAGTTAAGTTTGAAAGGCTTTATTCAGAAATCGAGTTCTGTTTTCACGTATACATATAAAGACAGGGTATCAATAGAATACCGTTTTCCTGGAAGGAATTAGATATGAGTGTCTGTGTACTGTTCCCGACAGATTTTCCACTATGAGGAAAGTTTCTTAATGAGATACCTAGTAATTTTCTCATTCAATAGGTTTAATTATGTACCAACCTACAAATTTTTGGAACATGTAATTGGAAAAGTAATGTGGTAATACTCGTATAGGTGTACTAGCTTTTGCCCGCGGCATCACCCGCGTGAAATTTTGTTTCACAGATCTTCATAAATTTAGCCTATATGTTATTTTACATGTTATTCTGGGCTATAAACAATAATGTTCATTAAAATCCGTTCTGTAGTTTTTGCGTGAAAGAGTAACAAACATGTTGACATCCAGACATCCATACAAATTTTCGCATTTATAATATTAGTAGGATATAACTGCACATCAGATAATACATAATTTTATTTCTATAGGATCTTTTACAATTACGAGCAAGTTTGTTCAGATAATGCCGCCATAGTGCTTAGTTCACTGTGTCGTCGTCTGCTTTTAAATATTTAGAATAGAATAGAATTTGAATTATTACTACACTCGCGAGCAAAAGTATGGAATCACTTACATGAAGTTGTTTCCACGCGATCTTGTGTACTAACGAATTTGTGAGGAACAAAAAAAGTGGCACCATTTTAAAGATTAAACTTTTATCTTTAAATTGATACCAAATTTAATTAAATCACACCAGTATTTAAAAAGATATCGCGGCTGATGTGAAAAAGTAACGAAAAAGACATGTATGAACTGTTTGATACGTCGCGAGTTGCGGCCTATTTACCCCCTATAAAAGCACGCGTTTTCGGATTTTTGCTTTCACACGTTGATTTATACACATCTCCGCTTCTTTTGACACTTTACCTGGGATTCTACACCTTCAGAAGCAGCACAAATCGTTGCACTATTGCAAGAAGGGCTCAGCCAGCGGGCTGTCGCACGTCAGCGCCACATAAGCCAGTCCTGGGTTTCGAAAGTTTTAAGACGCTTTCGGGAGACTGGTGGCTTTATCCCGAGACCAAGTTCTGAACAGCGCCGGCGCACATCGCAGAGGGAAGACCGTTTTTTCATGTCAACCTCTCTATGAAATCGTCATTTGACTGGAATCGACGTCCAGTAAGAGCTCAAAAATGTTTGTAGGATAGCTGTTAGCGAGTAGACAGTTTGTCTAAGACATAAGCAATAGAATTTAACTCCAAAAAGGCCTGCCACAAGCTCGAAACTGACGGCAGGTCCCCGATAAGCACCCTTTCAATTTGCTCGTACACATCTCGATGTTAAGTCGAGCAAGCCACCCCCATAAGCCACTGTTTCAGCGAACCAGCACTGCACAAATCGCTCCTCAGGCCGCCTAAGAACCCGACCTCTTCGACTGCTGCCCTGCAAACACAGTTTGCATTCATCGGAGAACAGAACTCGCCTCCATTACTCGCCTTCCCATCGAGATGTTTACGAGCAAATTGAAAGGGTGCTTATCGGTGACCTGCCGTCAGTTTCGAGCCTGTGGCAGGCCTTTTTGAAGTCAAATTCTATTGCTTATATCTTAGACGAACTGTCCACTTGCTAACAGCTATCTTACGAACATTTCTGAGCTCTTTATGGACATCGATTCCAGTCAAATGACGATTTCATAGAGAGGTTGACATGAAAAAACGGTCTTCCCTCTGCGATGTGCACCGGCGCTGTTCAGAACTTGGTCTCGGGATAAAGCCACTAGTCTCCCGAAAGCGTCTTGAAACTTTCGAAACCTAGGACTGGCTTATGTGGCGCTGACGTGCGACAGCCCGCTGGCTGAGCCCTTCTTGCAATAGTGCAACGATTTGTGCTGCTTCTGAAGGTGTAGAATCCCAGGTAAAGTGTCAAAAGAAGCGGAGATGTGTATGAATCAACGTGTGAAAGCAAAAATCTAAAAACGCGTGCTTTTATAGGGGGTAAGTAGGCCGCAACTCGCGACGTATCAAACAGTTCATGCATGTCTTTTTCGTTACTTCTTCACATCAGCCGGGATATCTTTTTAAATACTGGTGTGATTTAAATGAATTTGGTATCAATTTAAAGATAAAAGTTTAATCTTTAAAATGGTGCCACTTTTTTTGTTCCTCACAAATTCGTTAGTACACAAGATCGCGTGGAAACAACTTCATGTAAGTGATTCCATAGTTTTGCTCGCGAGTGTAGTTCTGTGCACAGTTTGCAGGTGTTATAAGCATAAAATTCGTTGCAACAGATTGCTCATAATATTAAGCATCAACCTTAATTTTTTTAAATAAATTTTGATATTTGCTATAAAATTATTGCATAGTTGAAAGTAAATACACCTCGATCTTTGCAATATTAAAACATAGTAAGTACAGGACAAGCGTCATTGTTCCACCAAACTTGGGTGCTTGAGGTAAAGAATCTGCATGAAGTTTTTAATGAAATTTTCACGGGGCTTGAAGTTTCAGCGCCTTTATGAAGGCAGCCCTTCTCAACTTAACACCGTGTACTTATTGTGTATTTTATTACCTGTTCCCACTTTAAAGTAAAATGTATAAACGGTTTTTTAATTAAAAGGTGCTTAGTACAGACGCCTTAATCATTATGAGGCGTTTATTTTTATTTTTTGTTGCGGTGTGCTGTGAAAAAACTCGCACAACGCTTTTTCTTAAAGTAACTTTTTTGATATGTAGTTTCTCCTTTCAGATGATAGATTCAACTTCTTCCAAATACTCAGTTAAATAATTTTTTTTAAATAAAATAAATATTTTCCTCGCCATGGCTTGTCAGAACGAAATCACTTCCAAGAAATAAGACCGCTGAAATTATGCCGTTTCAATTTCATATTTTTCAATTTGTCAGTTTTGTGCGTGATTCAATTAAATGAAGACAATAATCTATTGGTGTCGATACCGATTCTGGACTCGCCGAGGGTCAATGTTCAAACCCTATTGTAACACAAGCATTAATTTAAATTTACCTTACCACGAGAGGTTAACGGCATTATCTTTAAAAGTTGTACCAATTCAATACTAAGGCTGAGTTGCACCACCTAACTTTGACATTAACTATTACGATAACCGGTGTTTTTTGTATGGAGTTTGACAGATTTTTGACGTTTGTCACAGTTAAAGTAAGATGGTGCAACCCAGCCTAAGTAGCTAATCACGAAGGTGAGTGGCTTTATATGTGTGGTGGCTCGCAACTGTTCGTTTTTCAAAAGTTTTGATAGAAATTACACTATCGTTATGTGCATGTTACGTACACACAAGTAAAGCTCACTCGCTTTCGTGAGCTGCAACATCTATTAAATACCTGTTCCTCAACATCAGCCACCTCCCTCCCATTAGTCAGGCTGTTCTTCAAAGACAGGGTGGTCTGCACGATCAGCGCCAGGATCGGTATGAAGGGCAGCAGGAGCAACCGCCACAGCTGGCAGCGTCGGCTTCGGCACCAGCGGCGCAGCTTGAGGCCGCAGCTGAGGGTGTCTGTCTTCTCGTCTTTTGGTGCTGGAACAAAGAGTGGTATTTTTGAGAACATTTTCATATCTCAGGTGAAACAAAAAGGAGAGCTAGGGTGCCTTCAAATTAGAGGCGATGTAGTTGCGCCACTGTGTCGCATTTTCATACAATTAGTGCACCCTTAGGGTTTTTATACGTACAATCATATGCCCAGTATTTTTAGTTAGTGGTGATCGGACCCGGATCTTCTGGGACTGAGGCAGTTGTTATTACCATCAGACCACGGCGGCCGTAATAAAAGGGGATACATCAGGATTTCAATAAATGGAGGGACACGTGTCTAGCTCAACGTCTTAGATGAACAAAGAATAAGCTGGTAGATATGAGTAAATTCTGTGTACTATATAAATATCTGTTTACCAAAGTGAATTAAAAGCTGTTCTACAAACAATCTCTGGAGTCGGGTTTTAAACGAAATGAATTTGGGCAGAAGACAAACACATCAATCTTTTGCACTTTAATGTAGTTGTATTAAGGTGCTAATTTGCAACAATAAATTTTAATGTGATTTTGAGTGCTGTCAACTGTATGAACTGCTGTAAAGTAGGAAGTTGGATAGTTTGTTTGGCGATTTAAAGTTGCTCGAAAATGCAAATGTTAAAACGGTAACAGTGTACTGCTGGATAAGTTAAATGAGTCACTGATGCATATTAAAATTTAAATCGTGTGGACAAACACAAACTTCATTAATTAATATCTTAATGTTATTAAAATACGGTTCATTTTGGGTGAGAGTCATTAAGGCGTATTGTCAATATTTCCAATTGCGAATTCAATTTGACTTTTCTCAGCATTCTTAATTAATCCATCTGATGTTGAATATTGTCGTTAATTGACCTTTTTTTCTTTTTATTGCTTTGAGTTTGCTAACTATGCCAGTTGTAGTATTATAAAGTTGTATTCATGAGTGATATATGTATTCATCATCGTCAATACACTTCAATCCCCTTCCATTCCTTGATATTATTATACTTTCACATAAAAAGCACTTACTTGTATATTAAAGCGGTATACAACAAACATTTGCAAAAAGTTAAAAACAATATTGTTTTAACGTAACCGCATGAGTAAGGGTTCGCCGCAACCATGATTCATGTAAATGGATCGCGTCGGTCAATTTGTAAGGAATTTCGTATTATTTTACGCATTTTAACTGTATTATTCTAAACAGTAGTAAATTGCGAATGAGTGTTTTAGCATTGTTTATTTAGAGGTTTATTTTTTATTTTATTAATTCCTAATTATTACCCGTTAATCCCTCGTGATAAGTTAATTACGCTTATGTTACGAGTGGGCTCTACACCACAATAGTTCAGCAACGCGATGGTGATCAAGGAGGAACTCTCCTCGTAGATAATCTGAGGCCAGTGTGACGTTCAGTTAGGTAGTCACAGAGTCTGATCTGACGTAGACTTGATAATCGTTGTAATTTGCTCAATATTAATAAAGTGCCAGCTAACTCAATATCATTAAGTTATCGCCTTGATTTTAATCTGATTTTTAAACAATAATATTGTATTGTCATCGAAATCCAATAATTTTTGCGTAAAAGAGTAGCATGCATTTAGCCATCCTCACAAACTACTGGGTCACAGAGGCTCTGATTTTTTAAAATATTACCATAGAGGGTAATAAAACTTGTAAAATAATTCTGGCAGTAGTTAAAGCTTCGGCCAGTGTCAATATTGATTCAGCAAATTGCCGAATAGTTTCTCAGTAGGCATTTTACCTGGAAAGATACCCTGGACCGAAAAGTTTTGATAAAATATATTGCTAACTTAAATGCGTGGGATTTAACGTAAATATAGTTTTAGTTAGAAATTCGTGAGTTTTAGAAATAGCCCACGACTTCGTTCGCGTGGACCTCCTTTTACCCCCTTAGGGGTGGAGTTTCATAAAATCCGTCTACACCCTATGGAATCTACCTGCCAAATTTCAAGTTTATAGGTGTTATTGACTGAGATTTCGTGATTAATTAATGAGTGGTATTTTGCTTTTATAGATACCTAGTTGAAAGATATTAATTGTATCTCACAAACCTTGAAACACCAGCCTGTTTAAAGTAAATACTACTTTTATAATGTTAAAAGGGCATTCGTTTTTCCATAATGGAAATGGTATGGAATATTGTTTTGATATACAGAGGGCATTTACCTACTCGCTCTTTTGTTTAATGAAACTTTTCAATGAAACAAAACCGTACCAACAAAACGTATAAATAACGTGTGCAACTTCAATATTTTGATAAAAGTTGCCACAATACCCAAATAGATTTAAACGAGTTTTTACGAGCATAAAATAAAGGTGAAGCTTTTCATTTTCCACGCCATTCATGCCGAACAAAAGCTCATAGAAATGTACAGAAAGAGCTTTCGCCCGCGGCTTCGCCCGCGTGAAATTCAATTTATCACAGATCGTTAAAACTATAGCCTATATTTTTGCTAATGAATAATAGGTTACTAAAATGTGTCATCAAAATGCGTTCAGTAGTTTTAACGTGAAAGAGTAACAAACATACATCTATCTAACTAATACATCTTTAGAAACTTTCGCATTTATAACATTAGTCCAATGAGCTTTATGGAAAGGGTTTTGGTCACGGTTTTACTTACGATTATAGAAAGTATTTATAGCACATTCCTCGATCAAAAATAATTATTTCGGACCTTAATGTTCAAATTCCTAATACAAGATAGAAGCTTTTTATACTTACTAGATAAACCAGCAAAATTTACCTATGTTCATCAGAAATAATGTGGGATTCTAATGGCGAAAGAATTTATCAAATTAGTCTAGTGGATTTGGAACCTATTCAATACAAACAAACAAGTAAATCAATCCGCTTTATAATATTAGTGTAGATTTTGCTTAGTGTTAGCATGTAATAGCCTGGCTAGCTACCACCATCTTACTTAAGACTATTGCCATAACAACAATGTTAACAGCATTGTTGTGTTCCGGCAGTTAGAGGTAAGATAGCCAGTTCCTCCGTGGTTGAGGATTCCGGGTGAAGCTCGCTTCCACCTTCGGCCTGATCATCACTTACCATCAGGTGAGAAACAGGCCAAGAGCTTCCTCGTTGTTGATTAAAAAAAAATACTGTTAGCGTTCGTGACTCCCAAAGTGACCAAAAGTTGATAACAACATTATTCCAATTGTAACAAAGACGTGTTTCGAACTTTTTGGCTACTTTGGGTGTCCCGAACTATTTGACTGACTGTACTTCTTCCAGTTACCGTGGTTCTCAACTAACAAGGTAAAGTGAGATGTTTTACGACCCATAATTATGTTTGTCCATAAATGAGTCCTCATCTTAATAATGACACTCAAGTATGAGTAAAACTCAAGGATAAATTCACACAATGCAGAGACTGGAAACCTTTCTTGAGTTTGAATCAAGTTTTAGCTGATTCACTTTATACGGATGTAATGTGTCATTAGTGCACCTTCACAATACAATATTAAAATGTTATTAAATATATGTATGAAAGCGCAACAAAATAATACTCTTTTTATCTCTCTCTGACGCTAACTTTGAAGCCTTTATTAAATAATTTAGAAAGAGCTCTATAAATTACAATACTTTATAATTGAAAGCTCTACGTAGCGTTTAATTTACATTTGAAAAGTTCATTCATATTACTTTCATAGACGATTTTACTTACTTTTTTCACACAAAACTTGAGATATTAAAGTATTTTTCATGATCCAAAAAAAAAAGGTGCAAGAAAGGGCAAATATACCATCGTATATATTTTATCTCTCTCTCCCTCTCTTATACATAACGCGTGAACGCCCTCTATAAATAAATTATTAAGAGAAATCACTGACTAAGAAACGGGCGGTTTCTAAAATGAAATGTAGCCAGAGACAAATCAAAATTAAATGTGGGCAATGGTCATGGCCAATGGTTTGGAATTTATAATTCCCAATACCTCGAAGGCCTACCCAAATTTCCGGGTCAAGAAGCCACTACGCATTTCTGTCGTTAGATCATCAGTCTGTACCCTCGTGGCCGCATCTTGGGAATAAACTACATATTACACTGTTTAGTACAACTTATACAGGGTGTTTAAGAAATGGAGTCCAGATGAATATAGCTCTATTAACTATTTCTGCACATTAATGTGCAGAATACGAATATTAATATCTATAGCCTTTTTGTATGAGTAAAATACAAGTATATCTTAACCTGTTAGAATATTAAAAGGATTGGACTTTCTACATCTACAGTCGTTCGAGACTGACTGGCAGTCAAGATCGCAAAATTTCATCATCAAATCATTTCATGTAATAGTCATTGGTAGGAGTTTGTTGCAGGTAGAGTCTTAATAACTGCCCTTGATTGAACTTTCATAGCATTTTTTTACAATAAACGATGATGTTGTATGCTGCATCTTCAAGTTTTGTCAATGTTATTACTTTGCTGTAGGACGTGGCAATTTTGACGCTTCTTTTTTGGCCTTATGCATCAGTTGATACACGACAGATAAAGCTAAGCATTAAAATAATGTAATATATTTAGTTGTAGTAGATGCCATTTCAACCAAAACGTCTTAGACGGCGGGCGCGGGTGAAAATCGCGCCGTGAGCTCTTAGAATAACCGCGCAAATAACCGCTCCCGTGAATTTTGAAATAAAACCGCAATTCCACAACCGCCGCGGGCGCGGGTGAAAATCGCGCCGTGAGTTCTTAACCTTACACGCTGTCTCTGCATTACACTCTCGCAATCATACCTTCGATACTAAAATGGCACATTCGAATAGAGCTGTAAACCTTGAAGATGTTTAATAGCCAATGTAAAGCAGAGGCAAACGACCGCTCGCAGTTGGCAGGCAAAATAAAAATATTATTTTCATGGCGCCCCGTAAAGGACACTGAAATGTCACGATCAAATTATCGTTTGGTAAAAATAAATAAGAGGCTATGAACTTACACAAATAGCAAAAGACTAGGTTGTATAGGTCAACTTAACTCAGTTAAAGCA